ACAAATGCTGCTACCAAAAACATGATTTAATTTGGAAGGTAAAATCTCAAATTTGAAGTGTACACAATGACGGTAAAAAAAAACAGACACCTGCCAATTACCTGCATGTGAGAAGACAGTAGCTCATTAAGGTCTCCATATGAGGTTGTCTGAGCTGGGGTGTTGGTTCACGCATGTTCTTTGACCTAGAAATGTAATGACATTGATGTACACATAAGATGCATACAGCTCAAACACTCCCCCTCATGGCAGTACATTGTAAGAGCATGCTATGAATAAAATATCGGGAGATTCAGATTGAAATTCTCTTGAGAGATTGACCAAAATATCTTTTCAAATGCTTAAAAATACTCCGATTACAGAACATTCATATTATGTCTACACAATAAAAGTGATAGTCATAACTTATGATTTGTGCCCTTGGAGAACATATCCACCATACTCCCCAATTTATTCCTCTGGTCCTTATCTGCTTCCTAAATTCCAGATTCGTATACACAGGTACTTACTTAACATATCCCCTTAGACGTAAAATAGGCATTTTTAAATTAATATGTTTAAGATAGAACTCTTTATCCTCCTTCCAAAATTTTTTCCTCCTCTAATCTTTTCTGTATTTGTAAGAGTTTTTTCCTGATGATGCCAAAAACTCATAATCATCAGGATAATTCTTCCCTTTTGCTCTTTTTTCATATTTAATCCATCAGCAAATCTTGTCATCCTAAATGAAACCTTGTCCACATTGCAGCGAGAGAGATCTTTTAAAAGTATAAATCAGATCCTTGTGCTTCCTTGTTTTAAACACTTTCATGGATGGATATTGTAGATAGTAAAAAACTAAAATCCCTTTTTGTCTGAAACACTCTTCACCAAGAATTTCACCTTTTTTTCTTACTCAATTATCAGTTGAAATGTCACTTCCTCAGAGAGACCACTTAACCTAAACCAGCCCCCTAGTCTCTTTCGATCATATCACTCTGTCTTATTTTCCACATAGGGCTTATCGCCACTTATTATTTTCTTGTTTCCTTTTTTCTTTCCATTGTCTATTTCTCCTATTAGGATGTAAGCTCCTGAAGGCAAAGAACTTATCTATTTTGTTTATGTCTCTGTCTTCCACACTGAGAACAGTGCATAGCAATATACAGACAAGTATCTGTTGAATCAGTGAATAGATATTTTATTACACTAATCCTGTAAACTAAGATCACTTTCAACTCATCAGGGCTTTGACTCATCTCAGGCCACCAGTCTCAGGCTTTTGCACCACTTGGTGAACTCTCTCCCACCAGCTGTCTGGGGTCCACATGCTTTCTCCTGTAAAAACTGTCCTCAATAAAGAGTCTTAAACTCAATTTACCACAAGCATAAATGATGACTAACAGCCTACCTTTATAGCAACCCCACATAAGGTATCATTTTAACAAGGACACGTCATTGACCACAGGAATTACCAAGTGGATAGAAAAGAGTTTTCTGTGATGACTGTTCTCATGGTGGATTTCCAGAGCCCTTGGATTTTTTTATTTTCTATTTGAAACTAGCCCTGTTTTACCCCCCTTCTCTATCACAAATAGGTAATAATAACTGTAAAACTTACTGTTTCTTTCTCTTAATATAGAGAATGATGACAATGGTAAATGAAATACATAAAGTTAGGAGTGCACAAACTACAGGTATCCAAACAGAAAAAGAACCAGAAGTACCTGAAAAATACAAACCACAAACATGTTATTTATGACTCTACTTTTCTATACCCTGCACTGTCATCTTAGCACCTTCAATCTGCAGTGCTCTTTTGACTTGCTATTGCTTTGCTGACATTCAAATCAATACTAAAAGACAATTTGCCCTATTCCATTTTATAAAAACATATACCAAATTTGAATCGCTATGTGTTCTTCAAAGATTAAGACATATATTTAATATAATTCTACCATTCTCAAGAATAATAAAAAAAGATATAACCACCTAAATATTCATCATAGAAAAATGATTAAGCAAAATATAATATAGTCACTTGATGACTATATTACTAAAATGGAATTTCCAAAGAGTCTGTAATAGTCTAAGAAAATAAATTAATAATAGTAATATATATTTAAGATTAGTGCGATAAACATTTTATAAGGACTATTTACATTAACTGGGTAAGTACAGCTGTTGTTATAGATGGAAAAATAAGGCCTCTGTGATGTTAAGAAAATTGTCCAAAGATACATAGTGATTAGATGGCAGAACTGAGAAACAAGTTGATTCTGACTTCAGAGCCTGAACTCTTATGAAAAAAAAACAAACTGCAAAATTTTGAGCATCAACACATTTTAAAATAGCCATTTGACCACAGTGTTTCTAAATGGTATTACAGACATCTTTTCTTTCTGTGTAGCCTTCTGAATATAATCTACATTTTTCATTATAACTTAAGTTTAACAAAGGCCGTGATTATGATTATCAATGATTGTTCTTAGATATAATATAAAAATTAACATATTCACTTTATGTCAGCTCTTAAAGAAATTTGTGCTTACTTCAAATGGCATGAAATATTGTGCATTTTGCATTTTTAGGTCTTCTCATGGTAAGTTTTTTTTTTCCTAGTCCTGACTGTCAGACTGCTGTTATTTGTCTGTTCATAGTAACCTCTCACTTCTTTTCAATTTGCTGCTTTGAATTTTCCATTACCGTTGAAGGAAAAGAGAAATATTAATAGTAGTTTCGTCTTTCCTGAAATGCTACTGGAAAAGTGGATGTGTTTTAGTTGAGGAAATATGTGCCATTTATTTTTGACTGCTCTCACATCGTTTTGTCTCTGTTTCTAGTTTTCATTGATATTCATTTTCAATGAGATACTACACAGCCATTCTAAATAGGCGGCGGAGGCTGAATGTGAAGAATTTGGCACTAATGTGAACTTATCCCTTGAGTCAACAACAACAAAGCACAGGGGGGAAAAGCTCTATATGATACTTCAACAGAATCAGGTATTTATGTCTCTAATAGGTGTTACAAAACTATGCAAGGAAGAATCCTCTTTTAAATTGATCAGTTACTTCTTTACTGACATTATTATCTCAGTAAGAAGTGAAATTAACAATAATAATTAGCCAATATATTAATGGGGGATACAAATGCTATTCAAGTGGCATGTTTCAATGTCATGAATTAGAAAGTTTACCAGGAAAAGGGAGCTGATTAGCTCAGTTTTAAGAGACAGACATAACAAAAATGTCTGTCTCTAATCCTTCTTGAAACTCCATTAAAATTATACAAACAAAAATAAAAGCATTAAACGCAAAAGGACAGACAGAAAAATGACTTTCAGTGGCAAGACTTTGTAAAGAAACAAACTATGAAGGTGCAGGATGAACGAAGCTGCAGTCTCAGGCATGCCCAAAGCAGACTACACCTGCAGAGAGAGCCCTGCAGAACCTGGAGAAGCTCAAAAAGAGTGGGCACTAATAGAATTAAAGTTATAGTCAAAAGCACCCATTTCCATATTCCAAAGGGCAACTTTGGACTGCCAAGTACCTGCTCCCCAGCCAAAAAAATGGAGGGAAAAAGTAATTTATTGAACATACTGGGATTAACTAAGGCGGTAGGGGGTCAGAGCCCCAGAGTAAAGACTACATTCTGGCTTTTAGGGTCTCCTGTCTAATTGCTGCCTGCTCTCTGCAAACAAAAGTCCACCTTTCCACAGACTGCAGCCTTCTGTAAGCCTACAGCAAAGGCTCAACAGGCATTGAAGAAGGTCTGTGATCAAAGTGAGAAGCCTGAATTAAAAAAAAAGAAAGAAAAAAAATTGAGTTAAAATGGTGGTGGTAAGGGAGGAAGGAGTGAAGGAGATAATTAAGGAAAAAAATAATGATAACACATCTACAGAGTGCAGCCTTATAACACGAAGGTCATAGATTCGGATCCCCCTACTGGCCACTCCACTGAAAACAAGTTATAATACCTCTAGATTATTGTTTGAGAAGAAATTACTTCCTTAAAACAAGAAGGGGGGCCGGCCCGGTGGCGCACTGCTGGGTTGTGATCCGTAGCTGGTCACGAAAAAAGACAAAAAGGAAAAAAAAAAAAAAAACAAGAAGGGAAAGCTATGAAAAAAATAAACAATTTTAATTTTAAATTGCAAAAGTAATTTCAGATTAAAAACCTGATTATAAAAAGAAAAATACAATGCGTTTGAGGATAATTTTTATAAAATCTATCAGATAATGTAAAGAAAAGAAAAAGATATAAGAATGTTGAAAAAGGAAAAAAATAAAATCCAACCTAAATGTTTTAATGCCCACTCAATCGGAGGTTTATAAAAAGAGAATAAGTTGGATGAACAGGGAGAAATTCACAAGGAAATGAGAAAATATTCAGAATTGAAGGAGTCTCCAGATTGAATGAAATTACCAAATGTCCATTACATTAAAGGATTTTTTTAAAAAACTAATCTAAAAATAGCACTAGGATAAAGGAAAAAATACTACATTACCAAAGAAAAAATACAATAATATCTACTATTACAATTATCAGATTGACATTTGACTTCTCATTAGCAACAGTGCATGGTCAAAGACAATGGAGAAATACCCTAGAAGTTCTGAGGGCAGAAGGATGTTTAACCTCAAATTTTGTAACTATCAATCACATGTAAGGGCATTAGAAGACTGTGGTATAGATCCTTCCCATGGTCTGTTAGCATGACTACCAGAGTCACAAGGGATATTTCCCTGTTGTTCTAATTCTATAGCATTGAATTTAGCACTGCATGAACCAAGTTGTGCTGGTCTGGGGAGGCTGAGAATAATGGAAGGGTATTTTGTGCTAACCTGAATGTATTGGGTTTTACAATAGTCACATTTTGTGCTAGTCATAATTTTGTCCAGAATTTTTTAAATTCAGGAATTGATGAAATGCTGACATGAAGTTGTATTTATCCTGTAACTAGACTATGTACTAGACAGCTCACTCACATACTCCAGTAGCTAGTTGGACATGCAGAAAAACTGTTGGGCTTCCAAAAGATGTGATGTCTCCCTCACTCATTCCAACTTTATGATTCAGCATCACTGATGGCTAGTGATGCTTTTCGGTTCTTGGGCTAATGTGACTAAATTATGGCAAACTTTTATTCTTCTCAGCATTTCCCTGAGTTTATAAAAGCCAAAAATATTGATTGTGTAACAGTATCTTAATAAAGCAGGATAGGTCTATTTACTAAAGCAGATTTATATATCATTCTTACCCCACCCCACCACAGAAATTTTATGAAAGCTTTCAAGATATAATACTGAGAATTTGATACCCTGAGGTTGACTGCAAGCTGTGCCACAAAGTGAGATCCTGGGAAAGTAATTAGCTTGTGCTTTTACATATGCACAACATGGAAAGAAAGAGGTATACAGAAGTACTATAATCTTTCTTTTAGTCTGTAATACACTACTTGCCCTCTCAATGTATATTTTGAAAAAAGATGTATTAGTCTATTTCTGTTGCTTATAACAGAATACCTGAAACTGGGTAATTTATAAAGAAAAGAGGTTTATTTGGCTCATGATTCTGGTACAGCTGCATCTGGCGTGGGCCTCAGGCTGCTTCTACTCATGGTGAAAAGTGGCAGGAAGCCGGTGGGTACAAGCAGATCACATGGCGAGAGGAAGCAAGAGAGAGAAGGGAGGTGCCAGGGTCTTTAAACAACCAACTCTCACTCACCGGAACTGATAGAGTGAAAACTCACTGCTACCCCTCCCCCAGGGAGGGCATTAATCTGTTCATGGGGGATCCGCCCCCATGACCCAAATATCTCCCAACACTGCTACGGTGGGGGTCAGATTTGGACATTAGCCTTGGAGGGACAACATATCCAAACTCTATAAAAAAAATTCACTGTATCTCTTTATAAAGTCTATGATTTGAAGTGTCACTATATGAATGCTAAACACTTACAGTGTGATTAGTATTAGTCTATCTAATCCTGTTATGTTGATTCACGGAAAAAGCTTATATCTCCCTTGGAGAATGTTTCTGATCTTTTTGCTATATATTCTGATTGTGACCCTCTTTATGTGTCCTTTAAATAAGTAAATCTTGTTTGATTTTCTCAAGAAATGCTTGTCAGTCCATACCTAAAAATGAAATTTGTCAGAACAGTATTTGTAAGATGGGCATCTGAAATGGGACAGGCTAAATCTTTCAGGGGAATCACTAGTGTAATTAAAAGAAGGGAGAGGGGAACGATATTGTGAAACTCATTTTGTGTTCTGACAGCACGTGGTTTGAAAAGACTAAGGCCTTGACTGAAGAGGAAACATTTCAGTGAAACAGGTAAGAACACAGGAGGCATAACAACGTTTTGGTCAACGATGGTCCACATATCCAACAGTGATCCATGAGATTATAATGGCTATACCATATAGCCTAGGTGTGTGGTAGGCAAGACCATCTAGGTTTGAGTAAGTGCACCCTGTGATGTTTGCACAACCACCAAACTGCCTGACGACACGTTTTTCAGAATGTATCTCTGTCATTAAGTGGCCCATGATGGTACACATTTTCCTTAACTTCCTGAGGCCTGAAAAATAGTTCATTAAGTGAGAAAAGCATCTAGAAATGATGATGATCAAGGTATAGAACTGAAAATGCTTTGGACTATAAGGCTCAAATTAAAAATATATGGTATGTAAAAAGAGCAGAGATGAGACCAACCAGGTCAAGTGGTCTGTTTTGCTCTATGACGGCAAGATACTTGCCAAAACTGTAGGCCACAGAATAAAAGAATTAGAGCATTTACTCTAAAATGTGAAGAGGCACATGTGAGGGGTCTTAGATCCCCTGTTTAAGTAGGAAGGGGAGAGCACATTATTTTGGACACTAGAGAATAGTAAATGTCTGTTTTTCACTGGATCCTTAGCTACTCACATTATCCTATGTACTTTGCCCTAAGTCAAAATGAAGACTTGGAAGGGGGGTGGAAAAGAAACACCCATCCCTTTTCAATTTAGAATGCGTAAAATTGAGAATTTGGCATAATTGTTTTGAAAGGGAGAATTTTCCAGTGCTCCAAGGTATTGAAAAATGGGAAAAGTCCTCTAAGTTGGTGGAAGTTCCATGACTGGAGACTTTATTAGAGTGGTCTTAATAATGTTCAAATGATGTTCCCTTTCTTATATTAGGTTTAAACCTATAAAATTAACTGTTTTATAGGTAAAAATTGATTATCAGCAATATCATATGATTTAACCTAACATTGTAACAGACACAGCCATTTAAAAAGCTCCTAAAGGGTGATTCTCATTACTACCCTCTGAATTAAACACATGGTGACAGTGCCACATATGGTGACTAGTATGGTTGTTGGTTAGCCCTCACAAGAGACAAACTAATGCAGCAAAGACTTGTGAGTTTTAAAGCTAATTAGAATTAGACCAAAGGTAATGGTAAACTTGAGAGAAAAAAATTATCATTCTATTAGCTCTGAAACAAGAAATGAAAGAACAGGCTATTAATGTAAAACTAGAACCAATGGATAACATATCATTATGTGTGATATAATGGTGTGGTATTATCGTAGATCAAGAGATAAACAGGATCCACCCACCATAACTGACATCCAAAGCTTCATCTGTAGTATTTATGCAAATATAAAGAAATTCCAAAAATAGGGGGGAAATGTTAAAATTTTCAGCATTTCTACCTTTCTTCAGGAGGAAGAAATAGAAATTCTGGTTGGCAGGTAACCCAGGATCTCTTCCCTACTTCTGTGGAGAAGATCTAAAACTATGTGGCAAGAGTTGGAAATGATGCTTTCTTGCACTTCTAGAAAAGGGGGGTTCAAACACATTAGTTCCCAAATATGGTGACAAGAGCTCTGTTGACACTGAGGTTATGGAAATGCAGTTGTGAAAGATGAAAAGGTGATGTTCAGTATGAAACTGGGTAATAAGGGCAGATTTCAATTAAAAATTTTTTTTGAAGCACTGAAGAGTTACCAAGTTATTAAGAGCTTATAGGACAAAGATCTAGTAAAAGTAGGAAGCTAAGAGAGGCAAACCTGACATCTGTAGATATGTTTTCACCTAGTGAAAGTACCAGCAATATTAAGGTGAAAGTCAAAGCTGAGACGCTGAAAAGCTAAACAGAAATTTCAGCAGTAAAATAGGACTAGAGCAATGAAAAACGGAGGTAAGAGCCTGCCAAGGCAAAAGGCTCTGGTATCCAGCCCAGGCTTAAAGCTCCAAATAGTTACACCCTAGGAGGCAAGAGTTAACCACAAAGAGATTTGACTTTTCAAGGACTAGAGCCTTTTCTAACCATCTCAACCCCTGATTAGATTAGGGTGATCTATCCCTAACATAAATGCTTACACAAAGCAAATGTAAAGTTCCCTAGAGAAAGATAAAATCATCTGTTACAAAAGACAACATATTATATGATTCAATTCCTATGAAATATACAGATAAGCAAATCTACAGAGACATAAATTAGTGATTTTCCAAGGCTGGGGTATGAGTAGTTGGGGGTTATGGCTAAAGAGTATGGGGTCTCTTTTGGGAGTAATAAAAATGTTCTACAATTGATTTGCTGATGACTGTGTGAACTTCATAAGTCTACTAAAAATAATTGAATTGTACACTTTAAATTAATTAATTGTATGGTACATAAATTACATGTCAATAAAGCTGTTACAAAAAAAATCCAGAGACTCAATTATCACAATTTTTCATACACAAGGTCCAGCATGCAGTAAAAAATAACTATGCATACAAAAGTCAAAAATGGTTTGTAACTATTAGAAAAAATAACAAAGAAAGAGACTTACAAAAGATCTGGATATTGGCATTCTCAGACACAGAGTTTTAAATACATCTAATTTAATTGTTCTATCCATCTAATATACTTGTAATTAGAGTCCCTGAAAAATATGAGAAAGGATTAGATGGCAGCAATATTTGAAGAGATAAGAGACAAGAATTTTCCAAAAGTGATGAAAAATATTAACCCACAGATTCAGAAGTCTGGGAAACCCCAAACAAGATAAATGTGAAGAACACAACATTAAGGCACATTATGATGAAACTGGTGAAAACAAATGAAGGAGAAATTCTTATAAGGAGCCAGGATAGTGGGTGGGAGATATATTCCTTTCAAAAGAGCAGTGATAAAACTGAGAAATGTCTTTTCAACAGAAATAATAGAAGTCAAAAGCCAATAGAATGATTTTGTCTAATTGATGAAAAAAATAGCTACTAAACTGGCATTATGAATCCTATAAAAATGTTCTTCAAAAATGAAGACATTCTAGACATTCTCTGACAACAACAACAACAAAAAAAATGCGATAATTGGCCATCCATACACTTGCATTAAAGGAAATCAAAAGAGAATTCTCTAGGTAGAAGAAAAATTATTGTAGAGAAAAGTATGAACATGCACCAAGAAATAAAAAGCAACAGAAAAGGTAAATTGAAATATATATTTCTCTAAATAATATCAACAACAACAACAATAATATATTCTGGTATTTAAATATATACAAGGAATTAAAATGAACAAAAGTAATAGTACCAAGGGTGGGAGTTGATATAAGCTCATTGCATTATTTGGGAAGTGATCAAAAATACTTCATATATTTATACTATACTTTAATATAGGATGTACATTACAATCTTCAAGTCAACTACTAAAGGAAGGGTAAAAGAAAGTATAGTTAACAAATTCATAGATGGGAAAATAAAAAATAAATAATTAATTCAAAAGAAATCAGGAAGATAGAGAGAAAGGAACATTAAACAGGTGAGATAATAGGAAACAAATAGTAATGTAGTAGATCAAAACTCTAAAATATTAGCATATATAAGCAATTATTTAAATACTACTTATTGGCTTCTACTTTCAGAATTATCCTGAGAAGCCATCATATCCTGTTTAATCAAGGTTATGAAACCCAAGATAAATACAGTCGACAGAGTTTGGGTGGAAGGACGGCAAGGGGAAATGTGCAGCTACGGGAGACTGTGTGTGGTGAAGGAAACTAGAAGCAGGTTTAGCCACGCTGTTGAACGTTGCAGAGGTAAGCAGCAAAACACTGCCGTGAGAGGAAAGGGGTGGAGGAAAAGTTGGAGGAGATGTAAGTGAGCCTAATCTTCAGTGACTGTGGCAGAAATTCAGTGGAAAGCTTGTAAAGGAGATCATTAATGGATTTTAAAGAAAGATAAATATTTCCCCTTATTGATTTATCACTTCTACTTACATTCTTCGTTTACATACAGGGGAACAATCTTGTCCTCATTCCTTAGAGGGTGATCCACGTGCACAATCAGGTGATGGAGTCCTAAGGACTTCACCGTTTCCAAAGAGATGGTATACGTTTTAGTGACAGTTACTGTGCTATTTGGGTTCTGAACAAGATATTCCTCTGGTGGCTTCATTAGGACTTGTGAGGGGAAAAGAGATATTTGAGGAGCAGGTTTTCCCACAGCTGAATAACTGAGGCTGAGCAAACCTTCAGAGTCAGGATTGAACTGGAGTTCATTTCTTAATTCAGAGACAGCTGAGGCAAAATAGAGAGAGGAGAGATAAACAAAATTAAACATAAAAGTACACCAGATTTCTATGGTGTTAAAGGACTTCCCCAAATTTTATATGAAGCCAAAATGTTGAAATCATATCCCTCTCACCTACCTTTCCTCAGGTTTCACAAAACCTCACAATACTATTTTCTGTATCCAATGGCAGGCCCACCAATTTGAGAGAAACAATTGGTGTCTCGACTTTCATTTAACCTTAAAATTACATTATGTAAGCCCCAATACTTTAAATTTATAGCATCATAATGAGGGAACACTACGGCATTATCATTATTCCTGTAACATTTTATTAGTTTGAAGACTGGGTAATCCTTTATTCTCTTAGAGTCTTCGTTTTTTCCTCTTTCTCCTTCTCTACTGACTGTTTTTCTTTTCTTCTCTTTTCCCAACTCCCCAGTGATAAAATCCTGATGCACTTTATGTATTTTACCCTTTGGGTGAAAGCCAGTGTAGTGTAGTGCAGAGAAGTTAAATGAGAGAGGAAAAGACCTAAACGCTATGTCCAGTCCTGCAGTGTGTGAAAATGGGCAAGTCACATGATCATCACTGGCTTCTATTTTTTTTTCCCCCTTCTGTATAATGAAATACTTGTCCCAGATCATTTCTACTAATCTTTCATCCTCTGACATTATTTCTATGGACACCAATTTTAAAAAAAGACCACATCTCCAAGTTTTCTATCCCAGCAATTTGACACTATAGAAAACATTTATATACTTAAAATGGTAAGGCAGATTTGTCCTCCTTGGCTGCCATGTGGAAACACATTAAATAGACATTTGTAGCAAGCTTCATCTTCAAATGCCACTTCCCGGATAGTTAGGAATGAGATATTGGGTTTGATGATCTTGCAGTGCAGTCTATCTACATACGGTGGGAGAATCTTTTCTCCATATTTATCGCTATAAGTGCCAATATTTTGTGGCAAAGAGTCTTGGATCTTCTGCCAGGTGATTTGCACAACATCTGCTGGAGTTGTCAAATTGAAGAAAATAGTCACATCTTCTCCCAATACAGCTGTCTCATTATTTTTATGCTTTATCCTATGTGAAGAATCTGAAAATGAAATTCAGTAATAATCAAGACAAATATACTTTTATACTAACCTGGCTTACCCATATCATAGCACTTATTTCAGTGTTATAGTCATTTTATTTTCCTCTCTTGCCCATTAAAATACGAACTCCCCTATCTTCTTCACCATTGAATATCTAGTTTCTAAAACTGTTTCTGGCCTATACTACCTGGTTAATAAATTTTTATTGAGTGCACAAATTGAAACACAAATAAACCAACATAAGATGAGTATTGTAAAAAAAAAAATGCTTTCTAGTTTGTAGATCACGAGGTAAGAATGCCATTAACTGATCTAAACTAAGGGTGTGGTGATTATGGGCATAAAAATACAAAGTTTCTTGCAAAGAATTATCCCAAGATTTTCTTCAAAAGCATTGAGTTCCTCAGTCTTCTGCTACAGTGTACTAAGACTGGCAGAAAGCCACAATTCCTCGGAGAAGAAATTGTCAATAATTTTCCCTGACACCACACAGAACTAGAAAAAAGGCATCTGATTAGGTTAATTTCTAATAAGAAGTTAAAGTGAAATTTTAAATTTTCCTTCTATGGGAATGAAGGGCTTTGTAAATTTTGTCTATTAAGTGATATCTCTGTGTGTGTGTGTGTGTGTGTGTGTTCAAAGTGTCACAGTATACAAAAATAAACTAAAATTAAAATTATCTTCAAAACTTTCATTTCTAGGTAATATAAAGTAGTTTGCAGGAGGTTAACACTTCCACTGAGAACTCCTAGAAAAACTGAGTTAATTACATAGCAGTTTATTTAAAGGCATCAGACAACTGCAAAAGGAGAATTAAAGGCAATAAAATTTCAGAAAGGGTCTTTCAGAGGTGAGCTACAAATCAGCAGCAATAACATGTTATTTGTCAGTTTTCTGTGGGTTAGAAGCTGAGAATCAGAAAACAGATAAACCAGCAGAGTTTTTTGGAATTTTGCAGGGCTAAGAGCGACAAGACTGACGAATAAGGATTTTTGGAGCTTCAGACACATGTCAATTTCCCCTCTTAAGATCTTTACTGAATTGCAAATCTGTATTCATTGGGAGGCTAAAAACTTTTGGAATTTTGCAGGGCTAAGAGCGACAAGACTGACGAATAAGGATTTTTGGAGCTTCAGATACATGTCAATTTCCCCTCTTAAGATCTTTACTGAATTGCAAATCTGTATTCATTGGGAGGCTAAAAACTAAATCAAATCAAAACCTCAGGAAGGCAGAGTGGAATTTTCCAGTCCTAATGTTCTTAGAAGACAACAATTCTAGGATGGGGCCCTAGAAAGTTAAAAGCTCTGGAAGAAGTCGTGAATTCCCACTGAAAAGCTGCTAACACTTTTTTCCTGGAAATACTTGTTTATCTAAGAAAGAATCCAACCTTCAGTAAAATTTACTGCTCTACAACAAAGAAATCAACAGAGCTGTGTTTGCTTGGGCCGGAATAATAAAACTGGAGACTGAAGGAAGGTCAAACATAGAGCCAGCACCCACCTCAAGACATTTACAAATTCTGAGTCTGTGCAGGGCAAGAGACTAAAGAGCTAAGTCAAATCCCCCAAATGCTTAGAACAAGTTCTCACAGTCTCTTAGTACTGAGGAGACAAATATGCATTAGTCTCACAACTGAAAGCTCTAGAAGTCCATGCTTTAAAAAGAGTGATAAACCAGTTAGAAACTGTTTTTACCTGAATGGTAATAAAGATATGACATATCAAAACTTGTGATATGCAGCTAAAAATGTGAAAAGGAAAATGTATTGCCTTTATGTATGCACTAGAAGAAAAATAAAGGCAGAAAATTGCTGATCAAAGCTTTCAAGATGCATAATCAGCAGTAAATTAAAACTATAGAAAGTAGAAAAGAGTGAAAATGAATAGAAACAGAAGAAAAAATAATGGTGGGAGTTTTTTTTTAAATGTAAGTAAAAATGGATACACGTCAAGCCAGGTTGACCAAGAGAAAAACAAAGGAAACACAATTTACCAATATTGTGATTAAAAGGGGAACATCACTACAAATACCACAGACATTAAAAAGGTAATAACAGAATATTATCACCAACTGCATACAAATAATTTTGAAAATTATCATAAAACACAACTAACCAAAACTGACATAAGAGGAAGTAAAAAACCAGAATAGTGAGATATTAATTAAATATATTAAATCTAGTATTAAAAACCTTCAAAAAACAAACAACAAAAACCGTGATGTCTTCACTGGTGAATATTTTCAAATACTTACTGAAGAAAAATTACCAATCTTGTAACTCTTCTAAAGAATATGAAAAGAAAAAACACATACCAACAAGTTTTATGAAGCCAGCATAAGCTTCACACTAAAGTTTAATAAAAATATTTCAAGAAAAAGGAATTACAGGCCAATATCTCCTGAATGTTAATCCCCAGATAAATACTAGTTAATCAAATTAATCAATACATAAAGAAGACACCTCATCAGCAAACTTTCCTTCTCTTCAGTAATACAAGGATGACTTAATATTTGTGAATGAATTAATTCAAATCACCATATTAACAGAAAAAAAGTGAAAAAATCATGTGATCACTCTAATATCTAACAGATTCAGAAAAAAGCATTTGATAAATTCCTACACCTATTCATAAAAAATAATAATAATGTAAACTAGGAATATAAGGTAACTTTTTTTTTACATAATAAAAGGTAACTACAACAAACCTTCAGCTGACATTACACTTAATGGTGAAACTGTAAATGCTTCCCCTTTCAACTCAGAAACAAGACAAGGATTTTCACTACTCTCACCCCTTCTTTCCATCTCTTGATTAGATGTCCTAGTTAGGACAATAAGCCATGAAAAAGAAATAAAATGAATAAAAATGGTAAGGGATTAAATCAAAGTCTTTATTTCCAGATGAAATGATTGTGTGCTTAGGAAATTAGAAAAATCTATAGGCAATTTATCAGGATTAACAAGTCAATTCAGCAAGACTTTGGATTCAAGGTAAATATTCCAAAATAAGTGACAAGATTTCTGGTTTTAAATTCAACATATAAAGATCTTGGAAGAAGTCATCATTTCCATCCTAACACATTTAAAAAGCTGAACACACTGAAAATAAGAATCGATGGCTATTCTTGGACTAAGAGAATTGAAGGCACAGGCAAACCACCATCCTGAAATCTGGAGAAACAGTGAATACAGAGAAAGACAGCTGAGATCAGCATACCTGCAGTAGAAGTTACTGGAGTCATAAAATGATAGGGACATATCAATGGCAATTTTGATGAATTGCCAGAGGTTGAGTATGAACCAAGCTCTTCAGGACTACAGTCTTAGAGAGGTCCCACAATTCTGTGGGTTTCACTTCCAGGAATCCCCACCAGTTCTCATAGTGAAGACCCAAGAAAAATCACCTCAAATCTTTGGAAAGGGGGCGAGGGAGGGGAAATAACCATTTTAAAGTAAGCCCAGTGCATTTTCATAAAAAACCCACTTTCCAAGGAAAAAGATATACCAGAGCCTGATTTCATGTAGATGAGAGAGAGCAGTGACCAAAGTCACCCCCCTCTAACTGTCCTGTCTCACCTAAGGGAGCAGGGAAGAGATAAAAAAGGTAAGAAAACTTATGAAGATCACAGCCAAGGTACACAGGCCCACTAAAAGAGTAAGAATTAATCACAAGATTTTACAATGCCTCCCTCCACAACTCCTTACACCACATCAACAGGGATAATGACAGTGGATTATAGCTGAAATGGCTGTAAGGCTCAGGCTCTAATCAATAAAGAGTTCTTAGGGAAATCCAAAGACAACAGGGAAAAGAGAAACAAGGAAACTATAGAAATGTGATCCCTTGACACCCAGAGCTGCAGTAAACAACAAACACAACCAGCTTCAGCCAGATTAACATAACACCCATGCTAAAAGCCTGTTACCTCAGTTCCTATTACCTAATGTATCATGTCTGGCTTTTGACAAAAAATTACAAGGCATGTGGAAAGGCAAGAACAAAGACAGTCTGAAGAGACAAAGCATCCAAACCAGATTCAAATAAAGCACAGATTTTGGAATTATTAGGCAGGGAATTTAAAATAACTATGATTAACATATTAAGGTTTGTAGAGAAAAAACAGAAAACATGCAAGAGCAGAATAATGTAAGGAGAGAGATGAAAATTCTAAAAAAGAACAAAAAGAAAATGCCAGATACAATAAAAATAATGATAATGTATGAGACTGAAAACTGTTTTTGACAGGTTCACCAATATATTGGACTTGCCAAGGAAAGAATCAATGGCTGGAATAGATTTCAATAGAAACTTCCCAAAGTAAAATATAAAGGAGAAAAAATAATTTAAAAAAATAAATAAAATATCCAAAAACTATGGGAAATTTTGAAAAAAAAAAAAGTAGCATATACATAACTTGGAAGGAGAAGAGAGAATGAAGGAGAAGAAACACTTAGATAATGACTGAGAATTTTTCACTATTAATGATAGACATTAAATCACAAATTCAGAAATCTGAGAGAACACTAAGCAGGATAGATACCAAAAAAAAAAAAAAAATCTACACCTGGGTATTTTGTATTCAAACTTCAGAAAACGAAGACAAAGAGAAAATCTTGAGAGAAGCCAGAGGAGAAAAAACAACTTATTATTAGAAAAAAAAGTTACAGTGGATTTCTTATCAAACCAATTCAAGCAAGAAGAGAGTAGAATGAAATACGTGCTAAAAAAAAAAATACCTATCAACATAAGATTCTCATTCAAAAGTGAAGAATAAACACTTTCTCAAACAAATAAAAGCAAGCAATTTATTACCAGCAGACATACCATGCAAGAAATGAAGCATGTAAAAAGAAGTTGTTCAGGTAGAAGCAAAATGGTATATAGATTGAACACTTGAATCAACACAAAAAAGTAAAAGCATCAGAAAAGAAATGAATAAAGGTAAAATAAAATATTTTATTTTTCATATACTTATTGTAATTATTCAAAGTAAT